TTTCGTGTTAATTTCATGCTTAAGCCGGTGCTATGGGGCGTGGACTGTAACTTACATTTTCCAGTACCGTCCATGAACAGGCTCAATCAAACCGAGCCTGCAACATTTTCTATTTTGTTGTGTTGAGCTTTCTTTAGGGATTCTGTTTTTTTCTATTTTATTGTCACATCCGTGTTATTTGTGCCGTGTGGCGGCTGTAAAAATGTCTCGCCGTACATTAAATCAATGATGTTATATTTTCGATCCTTGAAGATCGTTCAGCACGACGTTGTTGTTCTGTATACATGTTATTTGGTACTTTTGTTTCTTTTTTTTCGGCCATTTCAACATGGGTGGTTCCAGTATTCCTACTTGAATACTGTATAATCACCCTTGGGATATGTTGCCTGCTTTTTAAATTTGTCTTTTGACGTCTTATCTGTGATTTGCAGGCTTCATAACCTCAGATCCCCTTTCAAAATTCCATTTTATTTAGTTCCGCCCATTGTTTTCTCGTTTAGGGCAAAAGCATTCTTTTACTTGGGGACCATACGCCGCTTTTCATGGAATGGCACTACTGTGTCACATTGAATGCTCCATGATAACCGCCGTATGAACACATCTGCGGATGTTTCTAAATTCAAAATTTCACCATTTTCGTGTTAAATGTTGAATTCTGCTTAAGCCGGTGCTATGGGGCGTGGACGGTAACTTGCATTTTCCCGTACCGTCCATGAACAGGCTCAATCAAACCGAGCCTGCAACATTTTCAATTTTGTTGTGTTGAGCTTTCTTTAGGGATTCTGTTTTTCTCTATTTTGTTGCCAAGACAAGGTGTTATTAATTGTTATACCCAATAATTTTTCTTCACAGCTACAATTTGCTCTGTTCAAACAAAATACAAGGATTACTTTCATAAAAATAATTTTGCTCGTGTTTTGAGGAAATATACATGACCATAGTTTTGTTAGAACTGATAGACATGCGATTTCAATCACACCATTTGTTGGCATTTCAAAGATCATGCGTAAGAGATTCAACTACTCTGTTAAGGAAAAATTCAGAAGTTGAAAGGGTGGTGTCATCAGCAAAAATATCAGTTTCTGTTTTTTCCATAGACAAAGATAGGTCATTGATAAAGATTTAAAATAGTATAGGACCTAGCACTGAGCCCAGTGGAACTCCAGTAGTTACTGAACTTGATTCTGAATATAAATTGGATATGTAAGTGTGTTGGGTTCTGCAATCTAAATAGGAGGAAAACCAAGTAACTAATAAAAGGTCTAGGTTATACATTCTAAGCTTTTCAATGATAATGGAGTGATCCACATAGTCAAACGCTTTAGAGAGATCATGGAAAATTGAACCAACTTTTCTATTTTTGTCAATAGCTGTAATCTAATCATCAATAATTCTTATCGGTGCAGTTTGACCTGAATCCAGACTGACGTTGGTATAGAGGCTGATTGTCCTCTAGGTATTGCTTTTAATGTGAACTGACATGACGTTCAAGAATAAATGATATCAAGGAAATTATGGAAATTGGCATATAATTTCTTTTATCACTTTTAGAACCCTTTTAATATGTATATGAATGACTTTGGCATTTTTGAACAATTTAGGAAATGTATCGTTTATAATGCTATTATTGAATATAGTGATAAGTATACGAGCACTAATGTGGGCCAATAACTTAAGAAACCATGCACTGAGACCATCTGATCCGCATGACTTTGTAATATCTATAGATTTTAATTGGTTAATCACATAGGTGAGCTGTATTTTAGGTATTTTGGAAGGGGTATATGCTGAATTTTAGATGCATTTAGTTCAACAAGCTCATGATTTTCATAACCAGTCTGATTAATGGCATGATGGGATTGGTGCAGATTTGCAAATTGTCTGTTGAATAAATGTGCAGTTATAACAGGGTTGTCATCATCATCACCACCATCATCATCATCATCACCACCATCAATAAAACGTGTTTGAATCTTGGATTTGTAACCAGATAATTCATTTAGACCAGTCCATAATTTATTTGGGTTTTGTTTGTTTTGATTGATGGAATCATTATAATATTGTCGCTTAGAATCATATATAAGAGACTTAACTTGTTGTTTCCATATGTTGTAGTTAAATGTGTCATTAACTCCATGAAATTGGTGTTTTGCTTTAATAGCATCGATGATGGTTTTATAAATCCGGTGTGGTTGGGTGACCTTTTTAACTAGTTTTTTTCTTGTTGGTGCATGTTTTTCAAAGACAGACAAAAATGTATCAGTGAACAAATCTGTACAGTTATCGTGATTTTTTAAAAGGTACTACCTTTGACCAGGGTTGCTCTGACAATTCGGTTACAAGGCGATTTTCATCAGTGTTTTAGAGACAGGAAGGTTATTGTCTTATGCAAGAGACCTTTAACACTGATGTTTGAAAGTTTGCGTGTAAGACAAATGGGAAAATAGTCACTAATGGATAAAGGAAGGTACATAAATATCGACTATATTTTGAGGCATGTTTGAAAATGCATGATTTATCAATGTAGTTTGTTTGTCCTGTCCGTCTGTCTGATATAAAACACAAAACAAAACAAACAAACAAAAACATTAACCAAACTTTAGTAAGGTACAGGACATACAGTTCATTATGATCTGAATTCAATATAAACACGCAAACAAACACATACTCTTTCATAACTTTTCTAATATTTGAAATAGGGAAATCTAACTACAGCCATTTCTATATCGTTTTTATTTGACTTAGATAAAATGATGTAAAATATATGCACAAAGAATTAAAGAATTGATTATTAAGACAATTTAGTTTGAATATAAAGCCAGGGTATAAGTAAACAACAAAACAAAAACAACAGCATATTACATATCTAACATATATATAAACTTTAAAAATAAATACAACCATGTGCGAGATAATGGTATGTTTGACAGTGAAATATTCACTGAAAGCTTTTCAAAGAACGACATCGTCTGCTGCTAAAAGGCTGGAATATGTAACTTTAGTGTGTACAATTCATCATTAAAGAAGAACTAATTGATCAAAATGGTTTTGATAAAGAAATGAAAATGGTGATACATCAAGGCATTGTTGATATCATGAAGTTTGTTAAAAAAGAATAATGATGGTCGTTTTGATTATGTAAAAGTAATGTTAATGATGATGGTTGTAGCAAACAATTAATTGAAATAATAATAATAATAATAATAATAATAATAATAATAATAATAATAATCAAACAATTAATTGAAATAATAATAATAATAATAATAATAATAATAATAATAATAATAATAATGATGATGATGATGATGATTATGCTGATAACCACTACCGTTACAACCAGAGCTGTATGACTGGTACTGCAGTATGTACTGCAGTGATTTTGCAAATACTGGTACAGATACAGAATAAAAAATGTTGCTACTACTGGTAACTGGTAATGCATTATTGTCTTAAAAAGTGGTACATTGTTCAATCTACTAGTTTTTTTTAAGTACGTAGCGTTCATTTTGTTATGGCTAACTGTACATGAGATCAATTCCTGCAAGATCGAGCTCTCTCAAGCGCGTTTTTGCCACACACACCAGAACTGATTTACACTTATATGAAGTTGGAAGACCACTGTATGAACGGTTGGTTCTAAATAATGATTTTTTTTCTCGAAAATGTATACACTTTATATACAGAAAGAGCAAATCGCCGCAAAATGACCAAGCCATGCGGAAATCTCCTGTTCCTAGGGTTAGCGCTTTAAAACTTGAAAAATGTAAAGAAGACCCTCCAAAGTTGTACCAAATCAAATTTGCAACGGAATTGATCAAACGGGTTTTGAACGGTAGGCTCGTGAAAATGATGTTTTTTTCCGAAATTTATATAGAGAAAGAATAAATCGCGGTGCAAAATATATGATTAAGCCACGCGGAAATATCCTGGACATATTACTTGGGTTAGGGCTTTAGGCCTTATAATGTTCAAAGGAGACCCTCCAAAGTTGTACAAAATCGAATTTGCAACGATACTGGTCGAATGTTTTTTCAACAGTTGACACGAGAAAATGATGCGTTTTTTTATGAAATTTCTTAAGACTTTATATAAATAAAGAACAAATCGCAGGTCCGAATAGCGACTATTGAACCTGGAGTAGTTGCTCTTGTTTTCCTTGAGTTAAATCTCTGTGCCTTTAAGCCTTATATAGGAGTGAAGAAGATCCTTGTAACTAATACAACCTATTACTTTTTTTTTCTTTTTTTTTAAGTACGTAGCGTTCATTTTGTAATGGCTAACTGTACATGAGATCAATTCCTGCAGGATCGAGCTCTCTCAAGCGCGTTTTTGTCACACGCACCAGAACTGATTTACATTTATATGAAGTTGGAAGACCACTCTATGAACGGTTGGCTCAAAATAATGATTTTTTTCTCGAAAATTTATGCACTTTATATACAAAAAGAGCAAATCGCCGGAAAATGACCTAGCCATGCGGAAATCTCCTGGAAATGTTCCTTGGGTTAAGGCTTTAAAACTTAAAAGAAATATGTAAAGAAGACCCACCAAAGTTGTACAAAATCAAATTTGCAACGGAATTGATCAAATGGTTTTTGAACTGTAGGCTCGTGAAAATGATGTTTTTTTCCGAAATTTATAAAGAGAAAGAAAAAAATCGCGGTGCAAAAAAAATATGATCAAGCCACGCGGAAATATCCTGGACATATTACTTGGGTTAGGGCTTTAGGCCTTATAATGTTCAAAGAAGAAACTAGAGAAATGATCCTCCAAAGTTGTACAAAATCGAATTTGCAACGATATTGGTCGGATGGTTTTTCAACAGTTCAAATGTTTTTTTTCCGAAATTTATATAGAGAAAGAACAAATCGCGGTGCAAAAAATGACCAAGCCACGCTGATATCTCCAGGACATATTACTTGGGTTAGGGCTTTTGGCCTTTTTGCCTTTTTATGTACAAAGAAGAACACCCTTAGTACTGATGCAGCTCTGGTTACAACTAATATGAAAATTGTGATGATGAGCGTCATTCTGCTGCTCTTCGTAATGAAATTGTTCGTCTTCTTGATTATAATAAATATGTTGTTGTGATGATGTTGATTACAATAATGATGACGATTAAGATGACGGTTGCGTCATAATTTGTAGTTATTTTGGTCATATTACAACGAATGTAATATACATGTATACATTATTGTTCATATCTGTAAAATTGAGCACATATGTAAGTGACATGTGATATTAACGCTCGAACATATCACACACGTGTTATATATTCCATTTGAGACATATACGGCTCAGCAACGTGTATATCTTTATCATTATCCATCATAAAGTCTACAACTTTCGCTAGGGCAGCCATGTCATTTGCAGTATCGGTTTCTTTTTTGGATGGAACTGGTTCCAAGGTAATTCTACAACTCCAGACTTTCTGTAAAGACAGAAAAAATGAATGTACACACGAGTTGGGGTTATTTTCATTACACTGCTGTTAATGTGTGACTTAATTGAACGCCTCCTTTCCTTGTTGAAATACAGTCCTAACAAAAAAATCCATAGTTTACAAGTATGTGATCCGGAATGATAATGACAAAGTTACGGTATTAATAAAGTCTGTCTATTTCCTTTCTAAACATTAACAAGCATATTAATAAAAAGCATAAATAATTTAAATATCAAAATCTGAAGAGTAATATTTTGTAGAAAAGGTTATATTGGTTTCTAGGAGTTATTATTGAAGATACCACTTCATGGCGAAATAAATTACAGATTTGTTGTAGTTAATGTAATTTTAATACTGATAAAACATTAATATTTATCAGGAACTCATTCCTCATTAATATTTTTCATACATGACGGGAAACTTCAGAAACATTGTCATTTACACATGTTATAACTTAAAATTGTTGCATTGTTATTATTAATTTATTCTACATATTTAGCGTTGTAAGAAATAATTTATTTACCTTACGACACAAGAACTTAACAAATACACTGTCAATAGTTAGATTCCCCATCGTTAACTCGCAGCTGTGAAGAACATCTAGGTATTTTGTCAACACTGAAGTGATTACAAGTTTGTCTTTACTTGTAAGTCTTTTCCCACTACCTACATATTCCCGTAGACGTGTGTATCCATTACTTGCAGGATGCGAACAAAAATGCATTCCTAATTTCACTAAATTTAGCCCACGATCTTAAAAAAGAAAGAAAAGAAAACGATTTTAACAATTTAATTGCAAAAAATCAACTCCTTAGCAACTGTAAAATAATAAGTTGTGTACAAAAATGTTTTTCAAAACAAGTGTTAAGTATTTCTACATTGAAACAATATTCCTGGCCGCCCCTACAAATAATTCTCAAATAAAGAAAAGACAAAGAATGATATGCGAGTTAAGTCGATACAAAATAATTACCTTGTTCTATTGTTACTCTGTTTGTTTCGTTCAAATCTGGATTAATGTTCTGAAATACATTGCATAGACATAGACATATGCTACAAAAAGGGCAACAAAACGCAGCTTTATATTAATATGCACTTCACATGTATATTTCAGTATATATGTATTAGGTAAACGTTTAAAGTTATCATTATACGATTTATGCTTCAGTTATATGGATTTCGCAGTTACAGTTACAGGGGATGTAAAGCAAATCAGTTACACCATTTACCATCAGTTATACATATGATAATTATGTCAGTTTTAAGGTAATGCATCAGTAATTTGGACTAGGAATAAGTTAAACAGGTAACGTATAAGTTATAAGGGTAAAGTTTCAGGTACAATTTGATCTCCTTAGCTATAACGCTTCGCAATATAGACCGCGACACACTGGAACTATTTTGAACAGCCAAATGAGTCCGTCATTTTGTGCATGTTTATATAATACTGTCAGTTTAAAAATTTAAAAAGGAAATAGTCTTACTGACACTTACGATTGAATCTTAAAATTTGATGATAAACTACAAACCAACCCGTTTTCCTATAATTGCAGACAACGTGTAAAGGAATGGGTTTAAAGCTGAATTTATAGGAAGAATAAATACAGCAGTCCAGGCATAAACATCTCCTGATATCGCGTGCCCATTCAACGCCATTAGGCCTAGAAATAATAAAGATATGTATTTTTAAATATAACCTTTTATTTGTTGTTCCTATTTTGAATTTCATAAACGATATACACAACTAAGATCTTGTCATTCTTTAAACAAATCAATATTATTAAGCATGTTATGGTTTGTTTTTCTTTTTTTTTATTATGCATATTATGATGCCAGGATATACATTGCATGTATTGTCGTCATTTTATCAATAACTTTTTTTGTCATGCCGGGTAGGCAGCTTTGTGTTGCATCATCTATACATGTATATCCTTTCCATATATACAGGATTGTCATATAGTCCAATTTAAAAGTGATCTTGTGGTCTTGTTTTATAAAGCGGATAATTCCTTAATATATATCCAGTGGCACTTTGATATATTTTTCGAATTAGTTTCAACATCAATATCAAAATATTCGTTACGCTTTAAGTTTTGCTATTCATGGGATAAATATTCTTAAATATATAGTTTGTTGTCATTTGGACGAAATATCTTTCAAAGTAGTTAAGTATCATATATTTTAAAACTAATTTGTGAATGGCAAAATTGAAAAAAAAAGATCCAAAACGTTTTTTTTTCTTGCAGTTAGTCAGTGTCATATTCATATCCTTGTTTAATAACGGTACTGAAAGGGATTTCAATCAATATCAAAATTTTAATTATGCGTACAACAATATAAAGTAAGTATAATATATGTTAAGTAGCAAAAAGTAATGTAGTAATGTATTTTAAGTTAAAGAAAGTCCCCGAACTTGTCCAATCCAGTGAAATAATGAAAAACATTATTTCTCAGGATTGGACAGATACATTCGCGGCCCTTCCCCCTACTTCCCCCTAACGTTATTTCTCTTCATACTTCTGATAAAGACTTCGTACCTAAAAACACGGATACACAGACCGGATAAGTTTTAACCTATACTATTTCATTTTATTATAAAGTGTAAAGGTCGACTTAATTTGATTAGACTTGAAACATACACAAATAAAACGTACACTTCTTATTTGCAGAGTGTTACAGGGAGAGGTACAAATGACAAACTTATTGACAACACTTCGCAGTTGCCTAAATAATCATTTAATACGGTGTTCAATAAATAGAATAGATGCAAATAATGCAAAGTCTTTGTTTACAATGAAAGTAAGTGATTCTCTTCACTGAATCCGAGATTAATTCTTGATTACGACGGGGTGATCATACTGTTAAATCTTTTTCGCAGACTTAAGTATTTTAAATTCATAACGTTATTTGTATATATATATACTTGTGGTGCAGATATTACATAAGCGAAAAATAACAATGTATAAAATATATATTCTTTTCTATTAATGCAGGATTTATTTTCATTGAGTGGTATGAAAATAAATGTTTTACGAGTGGCGGTAGCCACAAGTGAAATATGAAAATGTTCAAATCACTAGGTAGAAATAAATCCTGTATTTATAGAAATTTTTTTTGTTAAATATATAAATATTAATCTTTTTTACCTAAAAATAAATTTGAAATACTTTCCATTATTTATTTTGTATTTGTTGAGTTTAGATGAAAGTAGTCCAGCAAGAAACCAGTGAAAATTACAAAAAATATGTTTCACCGCAGAGAAAAATAGATTTAATCAGTGAAAATACCCAAACAATAAAAATATGCGTTTTATTTCATCAATATTGCTCAAAATTTCGTTTAAAAGTACATAGTTAAATTTAATAGTACTTATTTTGAAAATTATTTTCAAGTTATGCATATTTACCCATCACTCCAATTGGAAACCAACACATGAAGTCAGTAGTCACGACAAAAAGCAGGTTTCTTGCAACTTTTAGGTCTCTTTTTCTTGCAATTTCATGTTTCATCACTTTCAAACTTGTCTTCTTTATCTCTAAGAAAATAGACACCTGGCCGAACGCTATCAGTAGAAAACTAACAAAGTTTAGTCCGACGAACAAAGTTATCGAATAAATCCATCCTGGTGGCCGATCTCTTGTTAATGGCAAAGCGATACAGACCCCAGATCTTGAATAGAATTTGCCTTCAAAATAATCAACATACACAACCGGAAGCAAAGCAACTAGAACAGAAAACACCCATACTAAAATTGCAAGTAATATTGCTTTCTTGGTTGAAAGCTTCATTTGGCCAAAAGGATACTTAATAACAAGGATTCTATCTATTGTTATGAGACATAAAAAGAAGACACTTGCTTCAGACGACATTGTCGACAATATTCCTGCTAGTTTACACCAAACACTGTGTCTCCAATACTCGTCAACAAAGATGTATCTGAAATGCGCAAATCAGAATGAAGTATTAATGTATTTTCCAGTAATCAAATGTATGACACTATCCACGGTAACACTAGTCATACACCGAATATGTAGTCAACAAACAATTATCAAACTATTGCAAGTTATTCAAAAGTCCCCAGCCGGTTTGAACCTCAGCAGCATTTTTATAGACCATGACCATTCAATAATGTCATTGTGGAAAACATGAATGAAATTAAATCTTTTGAGTTCTAAGTTTATCTGCATCATAAAAATGTGTTACGTGTTCCTAGTAAGTAAATTATGTTTATACAACAGATAGTCAACAAATTCAATTGTAATAGGATGAATATGTAAAACTATGTTTCAACCTTTCTCTATTTCAACTAAATTTGCGAGCTCTTTAAAAGAGATCTCAGGAAATAGTTTAAGGGACAGGAAAGCAGACAGACTGACAGACATAGTGCAAGCCTGTTAAACACCACTGGTTGTAACAGAATATAAGTGTTTTACATTTTAAAACTAAAGATCACATTAATATTAAAGATAAAAGACGTATGAACATTGTCACACAATATGTCAATTAAGACAAAGAACAATTATCTGAAGTCTAAAGTGCTCGTTGAAAACATTTATAGTAACAAATTAGAATAAAATAACATTTTTTAATATATAACCATTTATAGAAATAAGGTTGAAAGTTATAAATTTCAAGTTAAAATTGAAAATAATCATGGATACCTATGCTCCAGACTTATAAATCTGATCACTTTGTTATTTTGTTGGTGTAAGTAATGGACATATATTTGAAATTCGTGTTTAATCTATGAATAAATAAAAAAGTTATATAATTAATAAGTTTAAAGGGAAACAATACTGACTTTACCTATTCCTATAAACTGCATCAGCCACAGCTATCATAACGAGATAAACACCCATGAGTAGATCAGCAACTGCTAAATTTGTAACAAATATTCCAAACCCAAGCTTTAGTCGTTCTGCATCGTATTTCAGTCTATAAATGACTGATAGAATATTTCCAAAAAGTGCCGACAAACCAATTAACCACAACATCGTTTGTAAGGCAGAAAGACGCATTAAATCTTCACAGGAAGAAAATTCATCTTTGGACGGGTAGCAGTTTTCTTCAAGCACATATGATGGCCTTACACAACAAAATTTATAAGCTGACGTCATCAAAATACGAACATTTCTAATACCCGTGAACACATCCGTGTTAAAAGTTTCTATTTCATTGTTCATAAAGTTAAGTTTTACAACAGATAACTCGCTGAATGCCTTGTTTTCTATTGCCTCTAGGTCATTACTTGAGAGATCTAATGTATCAAGATTCAGACCTGTAAAAGATCTCGAAGAAATTATTTTTAGTTTTGATCCGGATAGATTCAGAAAGGTCCTTTAAAAGCGTCTGGTTCAATCCTTGTTAGTTTTGAATTTCCGTGCATGTATAGTTCTTTTAGAAATCTAAGTGCACTGAATGTATTCTTGTATAGTGTTTTAATCGTATTTTTACTCAAATCAAGAACATGCAGATTATTCATTTTCGTAAATGCCTGAATCGAGACATTCTCAACATGACAACTTGACAAGTTGAGCTTTAATAATAAAGGGAGAGATAAATGTGTACTTTGTAGGACGGAATGCAGGCCTTTGTTTAAACTCAAATCAAGTGCGCGTGTTCTTCTAGTTATTTGAGTTGCTACTGTTATATTGATGTTTGCGTCACTGCAGTTGACAGCATACCCTGTACACACACATTTAGCGGGACAATTTACATAGCATAACTGTTCGTCATCACCATAATTGCATTGTTTTATGCCGTCACAAACTTCAGACAGGCTGATACACATTCTGCTCGACAAACAACGGTATCCGTTCTTGCAACTAGTTCTTAATTTACCTGGAAGAATTAATAGCGATATAATAATATTAGCACGTGTGTGGAGAAACGATTGTGTGAACACTTTACATGGGAATTAGCGAAACAAAGTTAGATGCATACAACGGGAATAAGTTTGCTTTCTACTTTATTCCCTTGACGATTTCAGCCAGAACTATGTAAAGTCATTTCCAAGTTTTTCAATAAAAATGGTATAATTTCGATTATTTGAGTAAAACACAATATAATGTTGTTTACACTACGCTTTTGAATAGGTAAGCTTTTTGTAACAAAGTAATAACAAAACATTTTATTGTGCTTTTTGTGCCGTATTTGTACTTTGTTGTATTTTAATATTTATTGTTTGGTCTTCATTCTATGTGGTATCTTGTGTTTGTGCTATTGATATGCATACTGGTTCATTTTTCTTCTCTCTTGTATATTTATCTTGAAATTAAGTAAAGCAGACTAGGACTAAAAATTGTCAAACAAAATAGATTATGTATCTTGCATAGATTTCTTTGAAATTTACAATGCATTTACCGACATTAAATAAGTTTATTGTTTTAATACTGGTGTATATCAAGAAAACTAGTTTGATGAACTGATTTTTATACTACCATGTAAACACCCAATTGTCTTTCTGGTGGTGATTATAGAAAAAAATCAATACAATGTATTTGCGTCATACTGTGATAGTAAATATTTGGTCAACACCGGAGAATAACGATCAAACCTATGTCGCATTAGAATGAAATGGAAATTATGTAATAAGCCTTAAGACACTGATTTTATTGACGAGTACAATTATTTGATGACGGTACAAAAACAACGTACATTTTGATAACTTTTGTTATGATAAAATAAGCTGAAATTGTAATTTAAGGCCTAATCAAGAATTTTACCTTTGCAAAGCTTGTGGAAAAATTCTACTCCTATAAACTGTAAAACTTTCCATTTCCGAACGCATACATCTGTGACGTCCTCGAAATTATTCCGACAATTCAAAGTAGAAAAAGATATGTTCTTAACTCTATATATATTCAAGCCAAGTTTCCTTTCATCGGTCAATTTTGAAAATATGGAATTCACAAAGGTGTCATCTTGTCTATCATCAAATAATATAAACCCTTTAACAGCAGCATCCCTAAATGTGATGATATTAATCAGTTTGTGTGGAAGTACAAACAAATCGCAAGGTTCGGAATCGTCAAGAAACTCTATGGGGGACATCTCAGTTACAGTTAGGGGTACAACTCCATGCGTAATATAATGCTTATGTTTCAAATTGTATTTCATTATACGAATTCTACTTCCTGGTGAATAAAATTGTCTCGCAAATCCTTCAACAGTCTTTGATTGTTCGGCAAAAAAATCGTCGTGCACGAGTATAACAATGTCCTTCTCGATGTCTTCACAGTCTGAAAAATAATTTTGAAAAGAAATAACGATTGTTTTTTTTAAATGAACTGACATTCTTTAATTTTCTGTCCGAAGGCTGTTTGAAATCATCTCGACTTCTTGTTAAATGTACTGTGAAGAACTGAATATCAGTAGAATTTTCAATTACATGTACGTACTCATTATACTCTTGGAATCTGAGTGGCTATTCAAAAATAAAATATAAAGAATAGTCCTTGCATGCCATTCTTAAATAAAAAAAAATAAGAAAAGTTCTACAATGCAAAAGAGATGATAGTTTTTGCCATTATAAAATAAATGTAAAGATAGTCTAAAATAAACGTAAAAGTAATAACACTGAAATAAATACTCTACTTTGAAGAGACATTTTATCAATAACATGCTTATACTTTAATTTCATGTATTCAAAATGGATTTTCTTCTCTTAGACACAATAAATTAATATGTCATTGTAATGTAAGCATTGTATTGTTAACAGAATATAATAGACTATTTATTGTTGCCATATGCATTAAACAAATGGTTGTGTCAACCATATTCGATATCACTTAATACACTGCATATTACTGATGATGTGAAATATAAACAAAGTATATTTTAATCATACTGAAAATAGTTTTTTGCCCTGAAAGTTTAATAATGTTTCCTTTACCGTCAAATAATGTATTTTGAAAAAGAATATGATAAATGGCAAATTTATCAGTCTTACGACATTCCTTTTCATCGAAACCATCCGGACATTGTGGTCTTCCGTCACACACAAATTTCTTAGGTAAGCAATAACTTTCTGGGCATTTTATCATGTCCAAACCACATGTATGATTTCCTGAAGTAAACACACACACAACAAAATACAGAGATGATATATTGTTGATAATAAAACAAAACTGAAAATTTTAACATACTGTTTTATTCAAATTATTTTAGGATTATTATGATATTAATACACAAACGATATTGCTTATATAAACGAATAGCTGCTCAATAATAGAGCAAAGAATAAAACTAATATATTTTAGTATGAAAACATTCAGAGGAAATGGAAATGTAAGGGTTATATGCACATTTTAGTCCCCATGTATTAACTATAGGCAATTATTTTAGACATGATTGTTGCTCTGATCAAAGAATAATGTTAATAATGTAGATCTAAAATTATAACGTCTGTATATCAAAAGTCAAATAGTAAATCAACTCTATATAGGTTTGTATGTCTTCAAGAACGCTAATTGAAAAATGTTTGTATTTGATAACATAATCATAACAAATATAGCTTTAATCCAATATTAAACGTAATAAAATTAACATTCTTACTGCAATTATGTAGATGTTTGCCAGACTTGCATGCACGTAAAGCCTCAGTTTTATCAACATCGTAAACACATAGCACATCTTTAGTATAAATATTTTGCTCTTCTCCGCATCGCAAGGCATTTGCATATAAACTGCTATAATCTAAAATGATTTCAAGTTTCGGTTTATCTACACATATACATTGTACATATCATTTTCTGTAACCATTTATATAAAATTTGTATATATTAAATCATAGCAAGTTTGCATTTAAAATTAAAAAAAGTTAGTTAAACCAACGTGTGAACAATTGGATGCAGATGATTTATAATGCCATTAATCGAAGGAGTTGTTTGTTAAAATCCAACGTGATTAATAAATTACAGAAAAGCTACAATTTTTTTTGTAATATCCATTGTCGTATTAAACTGATTAAACATTACAGGTCAGCTTATGATTGATTTCCTTGTATACACATATCCATCATCACACTATAATAGCATGTCCCTAACAATAATTTGTCATTTCACTCAAATCCCATCATTTCGGTTATTTTGTATACTATAGTTTACTGGTACTTTCAGTTGCTTACACTTATCTTCGACTGCCGTACATTCGCGACGCTAAGCATTTACCGGCATAACAATCAATAAATATCAAGTACAAAATATCCGTTACTTACCCGTTAGAAAAATCTATTTCCTCATAATCCTAATGAATCTTACACATAAATATTCTCCAAAAAGTGTCAATGTCACAATTTGTTTACATATATCAATGGGCTATCAAAATATTCAATGACAATGGACTCCTTGGTCATTTTAGCATGGACATATTCTAAAGATCTAGGATTCAACTTCTTCATGGAAGGTTACTATGAAGCAGACAAAAGTATATTATTTTGGAATTCAGACAATTTTGCATTTAAAATGGATTTTTAAAGTAACAGATATTTCGGAATAAGGAAAAACGGAAGTTTTACATTGATAAATGTTTCGAAGGCTCTTACCTGCTGTTTAAATCGCATGCTTTTTGTCAATGTTTTCCAACGAGTTAGTCCGAGATTCTCGCGGTAACAAAGATGGCCGCGAATCTACGGCAGTCGCGAAATAAGGGGAGATGATGATATATAAAAAAAACTTTTCATAAAACTTTTGACTGGCTCAGCTTTTTAATTTAGAACTGACATATCTATGCGTTTTCCTTACTATTTCTTTACGTACCCCTTTCCAAAACTTTGAGTTGATGTTGCATATCAGACACGTTACAAAAATAAAACATGATTATTCAAATTTGAACGCACCAAAAAAATGGCCGCATACTATGATGGAGTGTTCTGCAAATATGATACGTATTATATGTACATCATGTCGTATGCACGTTCTATAATTATTTTCTTATCATTTTCTTTTGAACGTGTAAGCCGCGTTTAATGTAACTTGAAAGGAATTACCAGTCAATATTACCAATTATGCTCTAATTCAATTCTTTCAACCGAACATAAATCATTTACAAGCTTAAGCCCTTCAACTTACATATACTACACTACAACAAAACAAATAAACAATTTATTGGAGTCCGCGCCGAAGCGCGGCGCCTAAGCGCGGCGCCTATTGGAATGAAATGAGATTTTGTGAAAGGGCGACAGCAACTTCTCGAGCCTTTTATAGTTGCCAATAATAAAAGCTGATCATTCCGATCGGTATGAGGGTGCTTGATTGTTAATTAGTCGCGATATGTACAATGAATGGCGAACTGGAGAATTTCGCAATGCAAACATTTTCAAATGAAATAACCTTTTCCGTCAATAAATCGCGCTCTTCGGGGTATTTTTGCTTATCATTTTGTAGTACACAGTGGGTTATTATGGTATGTTATTCCGAAAGCTGTTAATAGAATGATGAGTTGATGACCTTAATATTCCGAAAATCTATTTATAGAGGGATGTACTCCTAGGTAATTTCCGGTCTCTCCCCGGATTTACTAATGACCGGCGAATAGTACCACACGTTTATTGTCCGGTCTCTCCCGGTTTTGGAGTAGATATCGTTACAGAACAGAACAAATATTTTACATATAAAAATAAGCTTTTTTTCAAAATGAATGTTTGTCACTTAGTTTGGTTACAATAATTAATAAACACAGATCAACTCTCGAATTGATTGATTATTATTATGCATAAACATACAATTCGAAAAAAAAACCAACAACACAAATCGCATGTTATATTTTATCTATATGAGATAAAAACAATAAATATGTACAATAATTGAGAAAAAATGTACATTTTTATGGCATTAATATGACACTATCAACTTTAAAACATTTTATATAATTTGTTGTTCGTGTTTAGTAAAGATTCCGAGGAATTATTCAAAGTTACAAATCAGATTTTATGAATTATTCAATTGATTGATAATTTAAAAAATGATAAAGAAAAATACAAATGTACATGTATATGGTTTAAGAATAAACAATATTATAAATTGAAAGATTAACCATGATTTACTGACTTTTTCCAGTTAAGTTTTGACTTATAATCGTCGATCATTATGACAATTGAATTCTTAAAATAGTAGTAAACGTAAAAACTCAGTATTAAAAAAGCGCATAAAACACACACAAAAAAAGAAAAGAAAACAATATTTATAAAATCTGTATTTTTTTTATTAAAATAGAAATTACATTTATTGTATAATAAACAATTATGCTCAACATGATCAACATGGTAATATAACAAGTGTCATATTGTTACTTAGTGTGAACAGATACCTTAAGAGGGGGTCCTCGTTAATAGCAAGTTCAAGTTCAAGTTCAAATTTTATTTGCAAATCGGCAAATCCTTGCCTTTGGCAATACATACAAAACATATACATACATAGATCTTGAAATATAGCACACATAACTACAAGATACATATATAAACATTTCAAATATCAGTATTCGTTTTGAAATTAACAAATAACAAAGTAGTGTTAATAATATATCATTAATTTCGTCTATTTATCATTTGTTCCATGGTATTAGATCGTAAATCAAAAGCTTTGTCCAAGTACTTACTTATCAGTAATAATCTATGTTTATTATTAGATGACATGAATATAATAAAACTTATTCAGTGTGGGAAAAGATGCATTACGAATAAAAAGTTTTCTTAATTCTGAATAAAATGGACAACAAAGCAGGAAGTGATATTCGGATTCTATCATGGTTTTGAGTACAAAGTTTACATATTCTCTCACTTCTGTTTAAACCTATATATCTGCCAGTTTCAATTTCTAGAGAATGGGAACCAAGTCTGAAACATGTCAAACGTTTTCTTAACTTGTCATTTTGTATTACATTTAGATATTCCTCAAAACAAAAATTTGATTTGAAATTCCTAAAATAAAAGAGTTTTGGCATGTTATTTATTTGCTCATGCCAATTTTGTATAAATTGATCTCTAAGGCGTTGTTTAAAAATTAAGCTAAAATCAGAAATAACATTATAGTTATCTAACAAATATGAAAATCCTAACTCATTAATAATAGTATGAGCTTGCCTAGCCCAGCATTTATTATTTCCATTAACACATTGATCTAAATACATGCTATATATAGGCGAATGCTGATTATTAACAATTTTATTCCAAAACTTTAAAGATCTTTCTTTACATAAAATTGACAAAGGAAATTTACCAAGTTCTCCATAGACAGCACAATTAGGAGTTTGTTTTTTAACACCAAGTACATATTTATAAAATTTTATTTGCAGTTTATCAATATCTTTATATTTGTAAATTCCCCATACATCTGAACCATATAACAGAATTGGAGTTATCAGACTATCAAAAAGGTGCAGTTTAGTTTTTACATCTAGCTTTATTCTGTCAAAAATACCCAATAGACTGTTATATGCTCTAAGGCCTTGCTCTGCAAGAGTCTTAGTTGCTTCAGAAAAGCTACCCGTATAAGAAAATTTTACACCTAAATATGAAAAATTATCAACAATATCTACAAACTGACCATCAATGTTTATACTAAAATTATGTACAGATTTCCTTCTTTCAAAAACACAAACTTTAGTTTTATTAACATTTATTTTAAGCCCCCATTTTGACGAATAACTATATACATTATCAACTTGAGCTTGCAAGCTCTCTGGACTTGTAGTGAAAAGCACGATATCGTCTGCAAAAAGTAGCAAATATTTAGACAAGAGTTCAAGGTCGCTATTCGACATTTTGTTAAGATCTATACATTTTTCAATATCATTTAAAAAAAGAATAAATAGCAGGGGAGATAATGGCTCGCCTTGCTTTAATCCAAGAGTTACGTCGAAAAAATCTGACATATTCATAAAAGCATTAATTTTTACACATGACACTACAGACGAATAAATTGCCTTTAACATATTTATCATTTTACAACTAATACCAGTATCTAACAGCTTAATCCATAACGCATCTCTTATAACTGTGTCAAAGGCCTTTTCATAATCAATGAAAATACAATAGAGTTTAGAATTTTTTGCTAAAACTTTCTGAATTATGGAATGAAGAATAAAAATAGCATCAGAGGTTGATCTCGAATCTCTAAAACCAAACTGAATATCGCTGAAAATTCTTTCTGACTCACACCATTTATTAATTCTATTGCGCAATATCAACGAAAAAATTTTGGCCATACAATTTACCAAAGTTATGCCCCTGTAGTTCGAGGGATTATCATGATCACCTTTCTTATGTATTGGGACAATTATCCCCTTACACCATGAATCGGGATAAACACCTGTTTCAAATATTTTATTAAAGATAACACACAGATATTTACTTATAAAATAATTAGCATCAATGAAAAAATCCGCCACTATATTTTGATAATCCGCACTTTTATTTCTATTCAACGATGAAATTGTTTTAGAGATCTCATCTATTGTTATTTGGGTATCTAGCAGCTCGACGTGTACAGGTGAATCACGTGACTGTGAAAAATCGTCTGCATTAAAGCGGCTGTGTTGCGTATTGCAAATACGCGAAAAATGATCAACAAAAGCATTTAAATTTTGACAATTATTGGCTTTCGATTTACTTTTATACTTATTTATATATTTCCAAAATTTGCGGGGAGACGTTTTACACATATCTGAAAGATTTGATTTCTCCTTAGAATAATATAAATATTTTGCATGTCTCTTAACCCTTGCATACTTAGTTCTGCTTGTCAAAAAATAACAACATATTTTCATTAGAACTGTTCAAAGCAAAATTTCGTTTTTTGTTTAGAAAATCTGATTTAGCATTTCTGCATTCATGATTAAACCATGGCGATTTTCTATTATTTTTTTGCTTATTTTTATGAAATGTTTTACCATGACATTTATAAGATATATCATAAATCATTTGAGATAAAGTGTTTATACAATAGTCAATATCATTTTCACCTGACATTAGTTTATCACATATATTTTCAAACACATGTCTATTTTCTTCCAGCAAGTTGCAAAAATTATTATTATTTTCAGTATTCCATACAATTTTATTTATTGGTGGTACCTTGTATATTTTGCTATTACTTTGACTATAACTTAATGAAAATGAAATAGGACAGTGATCTGAAAATTCTGTCATATCCATAACACATACATCGTTCAAAGAGGAAAAACTTTCGAAATCCGTTAAAAGATAGTCCACTGTACTCATAACAGCTCTGTTCCTAAATTTTGAATGAAAAGTACAAAAACCTGGTTCTAAACGCCCATTAGCTATGATAATTTTATTTTCTTTGCACAAAGTTAATAATTTGTAACCAAAAGAATTAACGTGTGTATCGTTGTTTGATCGCTTCGGAATATCCTGGATCTCGTCGGTCGGAAGCGCAGTGAAACGATCTAAGTGAATGTTCTCTACATGATCCAGCCTCTCACCCGTTCGAGCGTTGAAATCGCCCATGCAGAAGACTTGACCAAGGTCACTATATTTACGAATATCCTCATTTAATTGCTCAAAAAAAGTCAAACTCGAAAAGTTTGGAATTTACATCTTTATAAACATTTGAATCCTCAGGTGGAATATAACATGTACCTAAGTAAATATCTGTTTCACATCCAAAATGCTCTTTTTTTTAATTTAATCCAAACGATACCTTTTAAGTTTATATTCACAATCTCAAGCTTATTTACCAAACTATCTTTATAATAAATAACAATCCCTCCACTACTACGTTTCGCTTTTGACTTACTGTTAGGTCTAGGACCATGTACATAATCAAAACCATTAATTTTTAAATTTGTAAGTTTTGAAGTCCATGTCTCTGTTAACAGCACAATATCATATGAAGAGATGAGATTTAAAAAGTCAAACTCATTCAGCTTAAACTTTAATCCATTAATATTCCAATATAGGATATTTAATATTCCCATATTCCTATTTAGTAATGCCGCGGGCAGAATTCTGTTGCTGGGCACCTGGAATTGTAGACATATTTTCTATTTCTTGTATTGGGAGAGAGTCTATCGTGTACATTTTATTATTGGCGAAAAGGTTATCCATATGTAGACTTGCTCGTAACCCAGCATCACGCGCTTTCTTCAGAGACGGGTAGAGTAGTCTCCGTCGCTGCTGGACCGGAACCGGAAACTGATCGCTCACACTATGATTTATTGATACTTTCTTTTCTAGTACTCTCTGTTTTATTTCAAGCTTGTCTTTATGATAGTTAAATTTCACAACAATTGGACGTTTTTTGTTGGCCATAAATTTTCCGACTTTTTTCGCTCTGTCTATTTTCAAGGTGTTGTGTGCGTCTGCAAAACCTAGTGCATCATAACAAAATTTTCTTTTCACAGTTCTCTCCCTTTCTTTCAGTAGCTGTCTCACATTCCGTAAAATCAAAGAATAATAAATTGTCTCTCATTGATCTACTTTGGACATCAATCAAATCCTCTGATACACGTGCGTAGTCCGATTTAAGCTTATCATAGCCGGATTTTATCTCACGGTAGCTGTTTTTCTCATGCTCTAACTGTTTTTCAATTAAGCTATGTTTTGAGCGAATTTCATCACAAGTGCTCGAATCGAATGCTCTACTGGCCTCTATTTCATTCACCTTGCTTTGACAATTGTTCACTTTGCCTTCTAGGAAAACCACTTTCGTATCGATAGTAGTTATTTTCTGTGTCAAGCTAGCTATTTGAGATTCAATCAAATCCAATTTCTGTAATTTTTTATCAAATATATCAAATTTTGTGTCAATTTTAGATTCCAATTTTTCAAATAATAGTTGAATGTCTATACTGGGAAGCCCAGGGGGTGAAGCATTTTGAGAGAACGGGGTGGTGTCATGTACATCTGTTGGGGTGACTGGTAAAACTGACTAGCGTGGCCGCTAGGATATACAGGCAAAGATGCTGTGTAGCCCTGGCCAGGGTTCGAACTTTTGTCTTGTATTGGGGTTTGTGCCATTGTTTGCTCATATGTGTTTGTAGTTAATGAACGTTTATCAGGCAACACACTTACAGAGTCCGGAGAAGCCGCCGATTTAGTCCTTTTCCTACTACCTTGTTTCTTTCCCATTCACTTTTAGTAATCCACACTTTATCAAATAAACACCAAATTAGATCCAAAAATCGTTATCCCAATGATAATCCTTTATCGTCTGTATGTATTTAATTCATTTAATCCATTTCAAAAAGAATAATGCAAGAAAAATATCAATTATTTCTTCCCTCCAAATAGGATTTAAAAATTTTCAATAGCAATAACATAATAAGGGACAATTACACAAGTATGGTGTTGATCATGCGTTACACATATGGATTATAAATGATTGTATACATGTATATCCGGTGCTATTAATAACCACGATCATAAAGAAATAACAAGTAATATTCTAATTTCTAGCATGCCGATCAAAGTTATAAATAATGAACAATGTCTTTCGTCCGTTCATTCAAAAGTGATATACAATTCTGGTAAAACCCAATGAACCATTGAAAAGTTTATAAGAATATCTTGTCATCATATATCTACTAGTTCATCTGCACCTGCTGTTTGGACGCCCTTTGATGCTTTGCATCAATGCTTTTCTTGTATGCAATTGGCTAAGAGCGATTTTTCCAGCCGTTTATTTGACGAGTTTATACATAGAAAGAAACATAACTTATTCGTATCAAAACCACTATGACATTATACACAAAAGATTAACAAATGACAGGTTAAACTTAAACTGATTTCGTATCATTCAACGAAAAAAAAAAATATATATTTTTACTCATTAGATTCATGACAGACATATAGGTCTTTAACTAACAAAAAAAAAAATATACCCATACAACAAATAACATAACATCTTTAAATGAAAAAAATCTTATTCACAAAGAAAACTTGACTGTTAGACACATGTTTTCGACACATGATTAAAAAAATAGTAATTTGATAAAATTACCTTGTTCTACAAAACAAAAACGAGAAAAAATGACAAGAAAAATGCCTCTTAAAAATAATAATCACTCCTATATTCAATGTTGTAAGTTACAATCAAGTATACACATACAAAAATACAACCATATAATTTATTCATGAACTCTTAAATCGGGATGCTGCGGGACTTATTTGAACCAAGTGTGCAAATATCGACTAAAGGCACACTTGCCCCATGTAATGACCTCGACTAAAGGCACACTTGCCCCATGTAATGACCTGTTTATAAGCCTGAGGGCAAATTTGAACCAAGTGTGCCAATATCGACTAAAGGCACACTTGCCTCATGTAATGACCTCGAATAAAGGCACACTTGCCCCATGTAATGACCTGTTTATAAGCCCGAGGGCAAATTTGAACCAAGTGTGCCAATATCGACTTAAGGCACACTTGCCCCATGTAATGACCTGTTTATTGCATATGTTCCGCTGGAATAATATCAAGCAATAACGTTATTGTTCTAATATATTTATTAATTGCTTGAAAATAGATATTGTTGTTGGATTATATTATCTAAATCCATCAAGCGATTCGCCAAAGATTTCAATGTTTCGATGCGGTTGTCAATTACGTAACGTGTATACGCGCGGACGTTCTGCCAAAAAAAACGTGTATACGCGCGGACGTTCTGCCGTTACTAGACAACAGGTGCGTGACGACCGGAAATATCCTCAATATGGGATTTTGGCACACTTGGCAAGTGCGCCAATATTGCTTATTGGCACACTTGCTCAAATGCGGGATTTTCGCATGTCATATTCAGAAAAAAGAAAAGCATTTTTATTACTAATTATAGTAACATATGCAATAAAACTATATAGTATGGAATGTTTAATATTTATACTTTCAGAGCTTGATTTTTGATCAACATGATAAAAAGTTATTTAAATACATAATGTGTACTATTTCGTGTTACACTTGTGTTGAAAGGTGATAATAAGTTAATAAGTTAAGAAAAGTTGAGAATGAGTAATAAGTAGTAATGTATGAATACTTACCAGAAGTGCAAATTATTGGTCCGGGTATTATTTGTAGACTTGAGTTTTGATCTTGTCGCGAAAGCATTTGTCTTTTAATATTTGATGATTTAAATGAATGCTTGAAATTATTGTTGGAAATTTCAGTTTCCTGTTCTTCTAGACCCCTGAATTATTAAAAGAAAGTTTATGGTACAGAATATCTAAATATTTAATCTTGTTTTTCTTTTCGACTGAAATGATAAGCAATATTAAGAGCTTTTAGTTAATATTTATGGTTTGAGTTTTTTAACTATAATTGCTATAATTGCATGTTTAACGTGTAATACTTTAACATATTTTTATTTGGAAACTGCTCAGGACATGGTACGTCACGGCAATCGTGATTATCTTTGAAAGTATTCTAACAGTCAACAATATAAAACAAGAGGGCCATGATGACCCTGAGTCGCTCACCAGAAACGACTGCTTTTCAGAGTTGGAAACTATCCATTGTCAATATTTTCTGATATTTAATTTGAGCATAAAATATGTTTAAACAATGATTTGAAGAAATGCCATGACCTGGGGCATTTAAGCTTTAGCTTAAACGGCGCCAATCAAATTAATATGAGCAAACTTGATAAAAGACTACCTTATAATGCTACAAAGTTTGGTGATCATCTATCAATTATTTCAGTAGGAAATGTTCAAAGGTTTTTCTATTTTTGGCTTTAGTGGCCCCTAAAAGGGGCCAATCAAATTAATATGAGCAAACTTGATAAAAGCGTACCTAAGAATGCTACAGACAAAGTTTGGTGATCATCCATCAATTAGTTCTGTAGAAATAGACGTTTAAAGGTATTTCTATTTTTAGCTTTAGCGGCCCCTAAAAGGGGCCAATCAAATTAATATGATCAAAATTGATAAAAGACTACCCAAGAATGCTACAGACAAAATTTGGTGATCATTCATCAATTAGTTCTATAGAAGAAGATGTTTAAAGGTTTTTCTATTTTTAGCTCTAGAGACCCCTAAAAGGGGCCAATCAAATTAATATGATCAATCTTGATAAAAGACTACCCAAGAATGCTATAGACAAAGTTTGGTGATCATCCATCAATTAATTCTGTAGAAATAGACGTTTAAAGGTATTTTTATTTATAGCTTTAGCTGCCCTTAAAAGGGACCAATCATATTAATATGAGCAAACTTGATATCAGACTACCCAAGAATGCTACAGACAAAGTTTGGTGATCATCCATCAGTTAGTTCTGTAGAAGAAGACATTTAAAGGTTTTTCTATTTTTAGCCCTAGAGACCCCTTAAAAGGGCCAATTAAATTAATATGAGCAAATTTGATAAAAGACTACCTAAGAATGCTACAGACAAAGTTTGGTGATCATCCATCCATTAGTTCTCTAGATTAAGATGTTTAAAGATATTTCTATCTTTAGCTTTAGCGGCCCCTAAAAGGGGCCAATCAAATTAATATGAGCAAACTTGATAAACGACTTCCCAAGAATGACACAGACAAAGTTTGGTGATCATCCATCAATTAGTTCTATAGAAGAAGATGTCTAAGGGTTTTTCTATTTTTAGCCCGAGAGACCCTTAAAAGGGGCCAATCAAATTAATATGAGCAAATTTGATAAAAGACTACCTAATAATGCTAAAGACAAAGTTTGGTGATCATCCATCAATAAGTTCTGTAGAAGAAGACATTTAAATGTTTTTCTATTTTTAGCCCTAGAGACCCCTAAAAGGGGCCAATCAAATTAATATGAGCAAATTTGATAAAAGACTACCCAAGAATGCTACAGACAAAGTTTGGTGATCATCCATCAATTAGGTCTGTAGTAGAAGATGTTTAAAGTTTTTTCTTTTTTTAGCTCTGTTGACCCCTAAAAGGGGCCAAGTGAAATGAAATGAGCAAATTCAAATGTGACTGTCACAAGGATGCTACAGGCCAAACTTGAAGTAAA